GTGGTTTGAAGGGAGGAGAAGGGACGGAGAGAAATTTTTTTATTAGGATAACAAAATTTGGAGAGGAGAAAAGAGGTACTTTCCCTTATTTTTTTTTTTTTTTAATTTCTATTGCATTTTAGTGTTATCTAAACGAGAGAAAGGAAGAAGACCACTCCCTTCCCCTCCCATTCCCTTCGTTTTCTCATATCAAACCGCCGGGGGGGGGGGGGGGGGGGGGCGGGTGTTAAGAAATGCTAAGATTTGAATTACCACTTGTATTAGTTTGTCCTCTTTCGTTTTTCAATTTTTATTTTATATTTTATATTGCACAATAAAAAATAACAACTAAAAACTAAAGCATCTTGAAAAATGAATACTATTGAACCATCTAAGTTGTTACCACATTAGTTTTAAGTGTTTATTTAGTTAAAGCCATCTCTACAAAAATAATAAAAATAATAATTTCAAAGAAATACCATGCAAAAAGTTAATATTGTAAAATTTATAAATTTTATAAGAAAATAATGGATATCAATCCTAATTTTAAAAAATAGTATTAACCTTAAATGACATCATTTCATTAAATTAAAATTTAATTTGAAATTTAAAAATTTATCTTATTAAATATTCATATCTGCATTTGAAAATCAAAAACTCAATTTATAATTTAAATATCTAACTTATTAAATATTAATATCTATATTTGAGAACATATTATATATTTTAATATAATTAATTTTCAAAGTTTAATGTTAACATTTAATAATTTATATGTCTTGAGTTTTAAAATAAATTTTAATTAAATTAAAACACTCCATTTTTTTTTAAATTGAAACTAATATGTACTATTTTGCTTTTATAACGAAATTTTGTTTATTTATTTATTTTTTGAGTAAAAACTAAGGATTTAATTTTAAACTTATAACTGAAAAAATATATAACTCTACCACCAAACTACATAATTAATAATAAAATTTTATTTAAATTTTGTTTGTTAAGTAACTTTTCAGGTTCAACTGTTCAAGTTCCTTAAAAATTTGGTATTGAGAAAGTTCGATAAAGGGGAGATTAGGATGAAAGTTTTTCCATTAAAAAAGGCTTTAAGAAACGTTTATTTGTTAAGAAAAATAAAGGTGTAAAATACAAACTTTACCCTCTATTTGGAAAGGCTAAAAGGACTCTCCTAACTCATAGCCCAAACCTAGCCTTCTAGTTAAGGGTAGAAATTTGGGATGCGACAATTATATTAGATATGAACCGAAAATATTGATCAAAATTCTTTTCATTTCACCATATGCTGGGTTGGAGAGATCAAGTTAAGAGCATTCTATCCGCCGTCGTTTTGGAGAGAAATCATTCCATTCAGATGCATTTGCAACTGTTTGTTTGCCATTTCCAGTGTATTTTTCCATGTTTTCTTCGCATTGGAATGCCCAACCAACAAACTCAGACTCTGAAAACAAACAGGTGGGTGTTGCTTTATAGAATGCCAAAGGAACCTGTTTCACCCTTCGTCTAATCTGCATTTTCAAAGTAAAATTAGTTTAAAAAATGATATTACACTGAAATATCAAGTTATACCCTATTTGGCAAACATGTAACTCTGGAATTTATATCTCAAACATGTAACATCCTTCGCATCTGAGACAAGGCCACAAATACGCATCCACAAGTAACTTTGGAATTTATATCTCAAACATATATAACTTGAGTTCCTACAATATTCAGCATGAATTGACAAGAAATGATAATATTACCTCATCTGCAAATACTGTGGCATATGAACCTGAGCTGAAGTCTTTAATATTCATTTCAGTAGTTTTTGATCTAACTGTCAAATCATTCTTGAGTGATGAAACAAACCTAATAGAACAAGTAAAAAAAACAAAAAAGAAGGAACATTAGGGGTCAAATCCTGTTAGATGTTGTCGAATAGGTAGAGGACAAATACCTAGAAATAGGTGGGCAGTAGTGATGATGGAGGGTGTCAATTTCCCATAGTGAACTTCCTGTTGAAACAAGAGACATCAATACATGGAGCCTTGATAAAGTAATTTCCATCAATCAAATATAAAGACATAACGGAGAATGAATTAACAAACCCTTTTGAGGTTTGGTATTAGCTACACCCTACACCAAGTATTAAAACATAAACATCTGCACACTTGAAAATGCAATGCTGAGCAAGTTACATTTTCCTCCCAGAGAGAACTTGGAGATACCCATCTAGAGTTATTTCTTTTGCGAAAAGTATCACTATCAATTTCAATAGTGGTGGTGTGTATTCAAACCAAATCTCAGGATATTTTTTAACTCACTATAAACATAGACATATCTTTGTATGTATAAACACCAATAATGTAATAATAATGAGAGTATAATTATTTCCAGGGAAGAAGTTGTAAATTAGACAACAGATTCTGGCCTCATATGACATGCAGGCCTATATATTTCCTACATTAGGATGTGTCCTTAGGTATCAAAACCAATTCAAACAAGAAAAAACTGAAGAAGCATTCGCCTACAGAATATGCATTTATTTATTTGGCAAAAAAGTTATAATAGTATCAAAAGATTACTTGTCTCAAAGCAGTCAATTACAAAGATAACCAGTGGGCAACTAGATACAACAGCAGCAAAACATTGAATTTGAAAATTTGACATTGCATTTTTTAAAGATTAAAATTTGAAAATGTTCCAAAAACAAGAGGCCAATGAATTTTAGTAAAACCTGCAGTGTAATTTTTAATAAAATAATAAATTCCCTTGTGGTTGGGGTGGCAACAAATCAAGAAAATGTGCTCTTGACCCCTTGTGGTTTGAAAAATATGCACTTAGCCCCCACTTGTTTTTGAGGTTTCACCATCAATATTAATAAGAGGTTGAGTGCACATTTTGCAAACCACAAGGAGGCTATGAGCACATTTAAAAAAATTTTGACAAATGATGCATAAAACAATCTAATCAAACCCACATTAGTAGTATCTGGCCCAAAAAAACTCACATTAGTACTAGCTTAGAGTAGATATATGCAAAAGGAGACATTGGTGAACAGACTTACTCATGGCATTGGATTTTATAGGATTCTTTTCCTCATTATTGAAATGATCAACACCAGGGTTTTTGTTATCTGAGCCAGTTTCACGCTCTTTGGCTGTGTGAACAGTTTCATCAGCTTTTGAATCATCTTTTGCACTTTCATCACCATCATCCTACACAAGTGTACCACCAAAGTGCTTCATTATCCATGCAAAGTAACTGAAAGAGAACATCTCTTCCTAAGATCAGAAGGATAATAAGTCATTAACGTTCTCCTTTCCATTTAAGATTCCAAACAGGAGTTGAAGGAATTAAAAGAAAAACGTCAATTCTATTAGCTTTGTAAAAATTGTAATCAATTCTTAAGGAGAGGAATTCTTTCCCCTTTTTTTTTTTTCTTTTTTCTTTTTTGTAGTAAAAGCCAACAAAATAAGGTCACATAAGGCAATGCGTGGGACATCTGCAAGAAAAGTAGCAACAGGAGTAATTAATAAAAAATAATAATAAAATTGTGCTGATACCTGATGAACCAAACAGTTGATTGATGGATGCCTGCGTAACAGGTTGTGAATCAAAGCTATAATAACCAATGATCCTGAAGGAGGAACAGAAAGTGCCATTCTACTTAGTTTCTTAGCAAAAGCAGCAGCCAAATATGCTGGAAGAAGTGGTGACTTCAGACAGGAATCAAGAAGCTACAGAAAAAATAAAAATAAATAAATAAACAGAACATTAAAAAGATAAACAAGCTGCAAATATTTAGTACAGAGCAGTAGTGGTACTTGTTACTTATTTGAATACCCTAAAAATTTATATAATCACTAAAATAAACAAGGATCTGAATTGTCAAAAATCAATCATGAATCATGAGATGCCCGTGGAATTAAATAAGAATTGAATGTTTAAATCAATTAACCAAGGTTGTCAAAATTGTGATTCACCCTAGAATTGGAAGAGTAAGATAATATCGTAAACTGTGAGATCATAACTTTGATTGTAAGATTTCACATCATAAAACTTTTTATATTCTTTTGATTGTCTATATAAATATAAACCATGTAAACCATTTGGGATTGAAATTAAGTTAAAATTAAAAGTCGAAATACAGTCATATTAACATTATGACTTTGACATTAAAAAATAAAGTACAGACTAATATATTTAATAATTTATGGTCACTTCCATAAAAAAAATAATAATAATAATTTATGGTTACAAAACAACAAATTGCTTCAAAAAATACAAACATCCCCAGGGTAATTAAGAAGAAGAAAGTATACTCTAGCAGAAGATGGTTGAAGTTTTAAGTCAACCATGAAGGAAGTCGAGAATCACAACTACCGAATGCCAAAGATACAAGTATCTCAGCATCATAGAAAAAAATGATTTCACAAAACAAGTCAGATTTGGGGTCTCATGTAAGAAGTCAGGTTCGCAATTTGAGGATTTCATTAGTCTTGTGAGTTTTTTTAACAAAAAGATTCAGAGAAATCATTTGGCAGGTAGTTTCCCAGAATCACCAAACTCCGGAAAACCACATGAGTTTATTGTTCCCAAGATTAAAGTCACGATTCCTGGGCAATCCAAACACCCGTCTGCTCCAACATAAGATCCAACTTGTTTTGCTCATCTGAGATCATATAATCGAACAGTTGTATGATCTAAATTGAGTTTTTAACTAGATGATTTAACATGCCGTATGACAAAACATATCTTTTGATCAGCCCAAATCATAACTAAATTTAGTTGCAAGGGACAACTCATTAAGGTCTGCTCTACATGACATATTGACAGCTTAGTTTGGTTTGGTTGTTTATGTTATTCTTGAAATTGGATAAACAGATGTATCAAAAATATAAAAGGCTAAAAGAAAATAAACACTTTCAATCAACTACAAATTTTTCTAAGAGTATACTTTGGAAAGATGGATGATGCAGAATTTAAATAATAAGCAATTCAGCAGTGGGTGTTACCTGAAAAAATTTTGCCCTATGTTTAGCCATAAAGATTGAAGGGCCAAGAAGTGCATAAAGCTTTTCATAGAAGTTTGGATACTCAAGACCATGTTGCGTCATTAGGACAAAAAGGCTGCTAAGTGCCATAACACTGACGACACCACCAATATCATATGATCTTGTTAAAAAGTCACTGCACATTTATGTTAATGGATAAAACTGAAGTTACCAAATATAGTAAAGTTATCCATGACAACACTAGTTTGCAGCAGTAAGTATTACCATAACATGATGGGATTAGACAAACAAGGAATCACTGCCTGATGAAGAGTAACAAGAACCTGAAATTTAACAGGCAGTTAGACATAAATAAGAATTACCCACAAAAAGTCCATATCTTGCAAGTTGCATCAATGGAGAGAATATGAGAAGACAACTGTCCAGAAAAATAAAGCTAATTACAAGTGCAAAAATCAAGAACCAGCTCCTATTTTGAAGAGTAATGGCATAGTCAAATTGTATGCCAGGGCACTTGAATAAACAGAATACAAGAATTTCAGACTCACCTCCTTGTATACATCAACAGGAAGTGGTAGTCTAAGAAATGCCATCCATGCTTTGGTAAATTTCAATTTCATCTTCTTAGCAATGGTGGCTGAAGACAGGACCTGAACACATTTTAACCAATGCCAAGCCCACACACCATAAAAAGTGGGTGGGGGAAAGTCAATACTGCTGAATGTTGGGTAAATACACATCTGATAGTCTAATAGATCTATATATATACATATATATATATAAATATATATTTATACACACACACACACACACACACACCATGTTAGTGGTAATCATGGCATCCACAAAGTTCATGATTAATGACTTACATTGTTAACATACTTTGCAATCTTGCACCGTTTACCTACTGCTTTAGGGAGCTCAGCAGCCTCCATATCATCATTTCCCTCTTTAACTAAAAATCCTACATGATAAAGTAAAAGGAAATCATGAATCATGATGATTCTGAACAAAAAATAAATCAATTGCACAATTAAATGGGGCAATGAAATTACTTAAAAAACATAGGCTCTTCATAGTCTCAAGCGCACTACAAATTTCACAAGGCAAACTTAAATAAAACAAAAAAAAGTTCTTTTCATCTTACTACAGCTACAACAAAATGATAAAATTACCCCATAATCTTGCAGTGCAAACAAATGAAGGACATAGACAAGGATCAACCAATTAACAAAATAAATGCATCATAACAACACCACAAATCAAATGTACCGAAACAATCAAACAATTATCATTATAAAAAGTAGTTAATCAATCACCTGATCCACTCCACATCTCAAGTTCAGCATTTTCATCAAGGCCTTCTAGAGGGGGAATGTGCAACAAAACGTAATGCATCTTGTAAATACAAAGCTCCATGCTACAGAAAACACCACCAATTCAATTTCCAAAATTTAACAATCAATACAAATATACAGTGAAAAAGTAGATTGGTCTCACAAATCAAATATTATCAGGAAAGAAAGGAGAAGTGGGGAAAGAATGATTGACAGTCATGTTGGCCAAAGTAAACCTTTCTCTTGAGTGACTTTCAGCATTGCCGTCTTTGCAAATGGTGTTGGTATCTAACATAAGAGGACAAATTGAAACATCAGAGAAAGTTCCTGGAATGAAGAAATTTTTTTTTTGAAACATCCTGGTTATGAAGAAATTAAGAATATATATATATATAGAGAGAGAGAGAGAGAGAGAAAGAAAGAATGCTGTAGTGCAGTCCGGGCAGGGCAGACTGCACTTCACTTTTTTGATATATATACATTATGTATAGGGAAAAGTGTTTATCCACCAGATTTCTAAAAAATTAGTAGGAAAAACTTCCAAAATCATGTTGTTTCAATAAATTCCCATTAAAGAAAGACAAATAACTTATTTTTAATGCAGGAATGATCCTATGGTGCTTTATTGGAACATGGTTTTGGAATATTAGAACTCTAAATCTGGACTATAGCTAAAACTTACCACAGATATCTTTTGACTCCAAAGTTTTTGCAAGTTTTTGCATACTGATGTAGGTAAAATACCTGAAAGGTCAATACATCCTATTTGAGAAGGAAATCATTAGAAAAAAAATGCAATTTAAAATTCTTAGTGGAGTATATAAGAACTGTAATAAGGAATATAAGATCAAGGAACTAGGATTCTATGTTATCGTAATCCAAGGTACTTTGAATCAAAGCCAGCCAAATTAATAGTGGCAGTGGATTTGTTAACCACAACGAACTGAGACTCTTTCCACAATGAAAGATGACTTGTATTTATCGAAGGAACTAGGATTTTATGTTACTGTTATCCAAAGCATCCTGAATTGAAGCTAGCCAAAAAATTAGTATATTAGTGGCAATAGGTTTGTTAACCATAACAAACTGAGACTTCTTTCACAATGGAGGATGACTTATATTCATCAAAAGTGGAAAAAGAAAATCACTAGAAGTCTATAACATTGATGGGAGACCTGATCAACAATAAAATGATAAAATTATAGAACAAAAAGATGCACTTAGAACCCAAAATCCCAGATATGATCATTAGAAACAAGTTAAACATGGAAACTGTAAAGCAGCTCTGTAGGAATACCGGACATCAATATACTTCAAATACTTAGACGCCAGCAAGTCTGACAAAAATTCAGCAGGTGCCTCAGAGTTAATCTGCAGATGGCAAAGATCATGAGCATCACAGGGAACAGCATACTTTATCACATGAATACAAGTTTATATATATATATATATATATATATATATAAAGAGCAAAAAATTAAAGCAGGAAAAGACTTTAAAACGAAAAGAAAACTATAACAAACAAGGAAGAAACTTTGATTGCGAGTTTCTGTTAACTACAACTTACAATACTATGCAGTAATTTCTGGTAAATAGAGGAGTTAAACTTTCCACCACTTCCCATCTTAACAAACTCCATGAATGTATCCAAAATAACTTCCTAAGAAAAAAAATTTCACAAAGCAAAATATTAAAGAAGAATTTATTAAAAATAAAAACCACAAAGGAAAAATGGAAAGAAAAGGAAGTAAAGGCTCACTTTCAAAGGTTCTTCAGGTTCTGATGACACCAAAACCTCAATCAGCGACCTAACGAACTCATCAAACTTTGATCTCAGCCACGTATGGTAAATCATTTCAGAGTCATCCTTAGCGGAATCCTTAGAACGTTGTCGTTTAGAGGCAGAAGAAGACAGAGGGTGCTCCTGAAGAATTGTAGTGAAGAAGGCCTGGAGAGAGAGGAGTGATTCAAGAATGAACTGAGGTGGCGACAACGGGGATATGAAATTGAGGAGGAGAGGCAGGTTGTTGATGTGCGCTTTTGAGGAGAGGAGCTCCTGTCCAAGGGATTTCACATCTTTCAATTTTGTTTTCGTCTTTGTTGCTAGGGTTGACAACATTGCTAAGAGCTACAAGAAGCAAAAGTTTGAAGGAGCAGAGAAACTGCGAAATAAGGACCAAAATTTTTTTAGGTTTCTCCAAGTTCGTGTAATCAAAATCAACCAAACATATAAAAGCTTAGTACCCTGCCCTAATAATTCCGGCAAAACCCCAAATTCACCCCTCAAATAGAAGGGTAGGGACAAATTCATCCCTTAAAAAATTACAGAGGTAATTGTTCCTCTAAATTATAAATTAAGACAAAGCTCATATTTTTTAATGTGTGACGTCAAAATTTTATTTATCACATAAGCTGTTTTAATGAAAATATAACATTACATGTTAAAAAATGGGTGACTTGTCTCAATTTATACTTTAGAGAAATAATTTATCCTTACATTTTTTTAAAAAGCGAACATGTCTCTACCTTCTATTTGAGAGGTGGATTTGAGGGTTTTACCAATAATTCATATTCAGGTAATGAATCCTAGCATACATAGATTATCAAGAAAGATCAAATTTTAGAAATAAGAATTCAAACAAGATCAAGGAAAAAGTAAACATCCCAAGTAATAACCCACGCTCCACTCACCATGTCTTAAATTCGTTTTTAGTCGAGTTTTATTTTAGTCCTAAGTATTTCATTAAATCTAAACTTTAATACCACAAAATTTATGACGCTCCAAACTAGGAGGGGAATAGATACTATACACTTGTGAGTATGTCCCATAAATATATAAGGTTCAAAACTTGCTTAATACATTAAATAACTAATAAAAAATCCTCTAAAAGCCATTATAAGAATAAATATCTTAATAATCTACCATCTAAAGTAAAATAGTTAACAAGATCAAATTATGCTTAAAATTCACTATCACCTAAATAATCTAAATATTCAAGTCTATAAATCCAAAAACTAGTATCAACCTAGTAATAAATGAATTAGCCAACTAGCACGTCACTCACCTTGATCTCTAACATCTCTAATCTCGTTACCTAAATGGTGGACAGGAAAAAACAACATAAGATAACTCAGTAAATAAATTATAGATAACCCCATTTATTTAGAAGAAAGCATGACAAATTTAGAATATCAAAACAGTAATTTCAATCATAAACCAATAATGTAACATAAAATCATTTAAAGCTTTCCTCAATTAGTCATGGCAACACCACTCCCACTGGTAGGCATAAAGAATAACAATGGCAGGATAACAAGAATAAAATAAAATGAATAGTTTCCACAGCAATAAATGTTGATATTTGCCAAGCGAGCATCAAGAATTATGCCTATGTCGGAGACAAAATAATGTAGGAATATAAACAGGATACTTAAATTAGGCATAATTAATAATCTCGCATAATCTATATATTTGAGCAAGTATCACATGAAAAGGCATGCTCAATTTTTCAATAAAGAAGAGATAAGAACTTTAAATCAAAACATGTCATCCTCATATTATTATAAAATGGATTAAATCCCGCCACCACCTCAAACAGCTCAAAATGTGCTATTAAAACCTTAGTTTAAAACTAAGGGCAAAATTATAAATTTACTTATCTCTTGTTTGCAATAAAATCAAGAACAGGAGAACCAAGAACTATAAAGACAAGGATGATCACGAACCTAAATAAGAATAGGACTAGATTCTTCAATTATAATCAAAACAAACTAAACTCAGAAATTCAAAATTATATAACACAATTTTATTTCCTGACAGGGATAAAATTTCTTTTCACAACAGACCAGGATGCAACATCTCTCTTTATATGTAAAGGCCTTACACAAGTGCTTCTCAAGTGTCCAGAATTGGATGACTAGCCAAGGAATCAAATAAAAATAAGGACATGTAACACCAACTATAGATTTTAGGAATGAACAAGGAAAACAAATTTTTTAATTGTATAGGATACGGAATTAAATTCCATAAACTCCCAATCTATTCCTCATAAACCCTGAGTTTAATATAAAATTAGAAAGGTTAAATTCCAATTTTAGTCCCCAAACTTTCAATTTCAAATATTTTTAGTCCTTAAACAATTTTTTGCACATTTTTAGTTCTTATTCTATGAAAAATACACTTTTTTTTAATCCTTTCATAATTTGTTTATCTGTCAAATATGTCCAAATAAACTTATAGCATATGCACACTTTTAGTCAAACTAAAAACGTACATATATAGAGACTTGATAAACTAACTAATTTAAAAACTGAAAAAGTACATTTTTCATAGTTTAGGGCAAAAAAAGTGCAAAAAATAATTTGAGAGCAACAAATGTTCAAAATTAAAAGTTTAAGGACTAAAAGTCAGCAACTAACCAATTAGAAAAAGAAATTTATGGAATATTTTTCCTTGCTAGGACATGATTTATCATGAAACAATTAATAAACAGTTAATCACAAATCTTGTTAGTGGAAGTTCATTGAGCAAGCCGAACCCAAATTCTTAAAACCTCATGGTACAACCTTACATTCTAACCTAAACACATGCTCCCCAACAAATGCTAACGTAGTAGGATTTATTTATGCAAATTAAGTCTAATGATTCCACCTAGACTAAGAGAAACACATCCCCTTAAAAGAAAATATTCAGCTGCCATTTAGAGATACTTAACAGAACATGACAAGAAAATTTAAATGCCAACCAATAGGCCCAAGGGTAATATTTTCCTTGGTGTCTATACTAGTGCCAAAACATGAACTTTGAAGTTTCTAGATGGCATAGGCAGCGAGTAGAAGTTAAATCATAGAGTAAAGAGTAAAGAACGGCAACAAAACCCCCATACAACCCAACTTCCATACCCATTCACACGACTGGGCACCTATTTATATTTATTCACAATTTATTGGCTACACCCAAATGTAACTAAGGGCCCATTTGGTATAATAGTTTGGGATAGTAGTTAGTAGTTTTACCCAAACAATTATAGGATAAGTGTTTAATAAAATTTTTATTTCAAAACCACTATAAGTTAAGTGTTTGATAAATTTTTTTATCTAGGACTAACAAATAATGGCTAAAGTCCAAATTACTAATTGATTAAAAAGCTACCTACGTTAAGATCCAAACCATTAGTGGATTAACAAATTTATTCTTTTTAATTTGTTAATTTTTTGCTATGGTATGTAAGTAACACTTATCAACTTGATTTTAACTTCATTTTTTTACTTTAATAATACTAAGTGTTCATTATATTTTTATTTTTTACCTTAATTTATCATTAAAAAAATTATATAAATTTAGTAAACACAATTTGCTAATTAAAGAAAATAATTAAAAGTTTGTTTTTCATTTATTTAAAAATAATATAATTTTTCATTTATTAAAAATAAAAATAAGTTTGTGATTCACATTCTTATATTTTATTTATTATTTTTTATGAAATTAATAATTTTAATATTAAAAAAATATAAAAAGAGAAAAAACACCTAATTGCTTTTAAATATGTTCTTATTAGTCATTTAAAATTAAACAATAATTGTTAATCTGCTATCTACAATCCACCACCCGAACTATCACCCATCCGCACTAACCACCACCCAAACTCTACCCTCTACTATTAGGTATCTGCTATCCATTATTCGTTGGAGTTTAGCTACTATAGTAAACAAGTCCTAAAACAGCCCCTAAACACAAATACATAGCTTAATAATATCGAAGATTACGCAGCTTGGAATTGCAGAAAAAAATTCCAATGACAGCAAACGTGTAGCCAAATTTAAGTTTAATTGCTGACAAAGCTTAATTATACAACGTAGGACTCACCCTTTAAAAAAAAAAAAAAAAAAAACAGCAATAGAACAATGCCCAAAAGTGCAGAAAAATCATATTAACACCAACATAAACCTAGTCAATTTCAGGGCAAAATAGCAGCAAAGTTTTGTGCCCCTGGACAGGTTTTTTTTTTTCATATCAGAGTTTTAGGTGGCACACAACTAGATTTCAGCTAAAGTTTCAAGTGCTTAGCTTACCGATCTCTTGCAAAAAACCCAACAATTGAAGTATGTCAATATGTCAACCAATTAAAGAAGAAAACGAGCTACAAAGCCCAAATTTTTCTATGACAAAACACACCATATTCAAAGAGAGAATTCAATCAACAATGCTGTGTTGCTACTTGCTAGAGGTTCAATTAGGGAAGTTAATAAGAGGAAATCGACAAAAGAGGTGTGAAAATTTAACCGATTGGTAGAGATTTTCGAAGGGTAGAGTAGTTCGGCAGGATTGGGAAGTGCAGAAACGAGAAGAGAGGAAAACCATGCGAAAAGGTTTAGGGTTACTTTAGT